TTACCAACTTTGTTTTTCCATATCAACCTTGTTACCAGTTTCAATTTGAATATGCCTAGTTACGCTTAGCCATGCTTAGACCAATAAAAGTCGGGTGATTACCTGTCACCTACGAGATATAACTGAATTTTTGGATACGATTGGTTATTTATGTTATCACGAGATATAATCATGTGGAGTGATAAATCTGGACCGGGCGGACTCGGTGTATGAGAGCCACAAGACATGGATGTCTTGTGAGCGGGTTCTTTCCGCCTGTGTCAATTAAGAACCGTATGTTGTTAAATTGCACGAGGTGAGACTTTGTAGTACTGGCCACATACTCCGGTAAGCCTTAACTTGGCTATTCTATTACGAGAATGGCTACTCGCGCACTGGGAGTGGAGAGATGGCGAGAGTAGCGTGTACCCACGTGGCAATGGGCTGGATTGGTGGGCTACTGTGCTCTCGGGTGGTGTGGACCCGTTCCTGTTTTAGAGGATCTAAGGGTAGGTTGATATATGTAGGTCAGGGACCTACATATGTCGTGTGGTTGGGAAATCCCCAGCTGGGTTATAATCGGTTCGAATCATCGTTGCTCCTCGGTTATGGAGACTCAACTCACTGTTCATCATCGTAGTTAAAAAATGGAACTTGAGTAAGATATGAGAAAGAGTTTGATATGAAGTTCATGATCTCAATATGGATCATGTCAGCTTTATATATGATCTTTATGAAGATTTAAATGTTGATATAAAGAATCTTGTTAGAGAGCTTTTATGCAAAAAGAACTTTGATTCTTGCTAAAGCCTTACCTTGAATCCCTGAGCCTGCATTCCTGAGTCTTCTCTGTTTTTACGTCGGTTAAGTCTTGTTGAGTACTTTTGTACTCAGGGTTCTTTAACCCTTGTTGCAGGTGAGCCTCATGAGCAGGTCTGCTTTGGACCATGTTGCATGACGGTTGTTCATATCGAAGATGACAAGTAAATGTGTGGCCCTTGGGCAGGGCACTTTAATTGTGTGTTTTGTTTTATGTTACTAATGCTACTCCACTACTATGGTTTGTAATAATAATCGTACTTGGTTTGTAAGGTTTGAAACAACTATTTTGTAAACTAAGTTATTGTAAGACTTCTGCTATTTTACTCTGATGTAAATTATTGAATAAATTGTTGTAATACTGCAATGACTCTGTAATGGATCCTGCTTGGAAGAAATCATGGATGATTCGGGTTTCCCGAGGACACCCGACAGGCTTCTTAAGTTACCGAAAACATATGCATAGTCGCCAGAGGTCATTGGACAGTGACAGGTTCATGTGGGCCCAATAATTTAGGAGGTTCTGCCTACAGTCGGCCACATGGGACCCACGTTGACCTATCTATGAGGCCGACACTCACCTAGGGTTTGACACGAAGCGATGGGTGGCGGCTGCACGAACCGAGATGCGGTAGAAGGGCCTCTCCATGACGGCGGGCACCCTATGGCAATGGCGATGGCATTCGGGTGAACCACAGTATTAACAAGGCAGTAGGGATAGTGGGTGAGCAACAGGGACTCACCACAGACCTAGCGAAGGTGATGGCTTAGCTGGAGATGCCCCAAGAGAGCCTGACCACGTGCACACGGCGAAGCTCGACAGCGAACCACGGCGACACGGCCGTGCCAGCGGCGAGGAGGCAACGGTAGATGTGCGGCTTAGGTGTGCACGATGATGAGGAAGGGTTCTAGGCGGGGCTAGTGGTGCAGCTAATTCGTCTCAAGACGTTGAGGAGGCGGCTGACCATGGTGAGGGCGGTGACGGGTCTTAACGGCGTGGTGGCGGGGCGAAGCTCCAAATTGAAGCTTGGCTTTGCACAGTTCAAGTCAGGGTGGGGGCGGGCAGCGAGAGGACGTGAGAGTGCAGGCGCAGCCATGTTGAATTGATGGAGAATGGCTTCTCGCATGCAGGCAGGCTGGCGCGGCTCGGCGGCGATGGCAAAGAAGAGGACAGGGGAGGGGCGGGAGACGGTGGGGACGCAGTCAAGGCTCGGCCTATGATTGCTTGGCGGGACGCGATTGACGTGACCAGAGCGACCAATGCCGCCACTAGCCAACGACACACGCTCGAGGTCGGCGTGGCCCGCGCGCCGCAGTGCCATAAATGGCATGGCGACGGCGGTTCGGCCTCGTCGTGCAGCGTCTAGGCGGGCCAGATGGCGCAGCGGCAGTGCCATCAATGATGCGACGATGCAGAGGCAGCAGAGCGCAGTTTGTCGCATGGCACGGAGGGCAGCAACAACGCGCGACAATGGCAGCAGGCGAGGGCAGCGTGACGTGGCGAAAGCCTCGGGCGAGGCACGGCTGCTGGCGGCAGCTCAGCTCAAGGCGGCTGAGGCGATCTGCCAGAGCGCCATTGCGCGCGCGCGCATGAAGCGCCACGATCGGGCAAAGGCCGCTCGGCATGGTGATCGCGTCCAGCCAGAAAAACAGCCCGAGAACACGCTGTGCACCGATTTTAAAGCGTTCGAAACAACTACACAGTTGATCCAATCCCCAAACCACCTTCACTACTCTAAAGAGGGCACCTTAGGCTATCAACAAGAGCTAAAGAACGACACCACTCCTAAACACAATTTTTACAGAATAAATTACCAAACATAGCTTTGTCAATCTGTTTTCAGACTTAAGAAATTTATCTTGAATTGGATTTGCTTCAAATTCGATTTCCAAGCTATTAGAAATGTTACCTAGCATTGTTATCTTGTTAAAACAAAAGTTGCACTATCTTCTACAAAATGTGTACTTCAAACTTTATTAAAGTGTCACATATATGTTTTATAGCGTTTTTATTCAATAAAAATTAGTTAAAATCTCTATTTGCTAACTTTATAAATCGTGAATTAACTTTTTGTTTTACGTTTTTACGACTCGTTTAAGTTACAATGCTTTACCTATCCATCACACCACATGCAATATCACTTAAGTATGATGCTCATGATATGTTTTAGCAAGTGGTTCACTGTGTAACACCGAGGGTGTTACAACATCATATTGACTATTTTCTTTGTATGAGTTTTACTTACAAGGTTTCTCATATAAAGTTTTTAATGAGACAATATTAACATAAGCATGTGTAACATTTCATATTTTCACCATCGGGGTTTTTAGGGAGATATCAATGACATATATTGTGCTCAAAACTATCTACGAGTTTTGTCATGCAAAGGTTTTATCATATGATCTTACAATGGCACAATAATCATTATATGCTGAATCACTTTCTGCTTACTTTCCCATTGGGTTTATATGAGTTTTTAACAGCGTATATTTCAGTATTTCTCCTCATTTTTATCCTACAAAACTTTTTGGAGGATTAATACTATTCATTGATCTCAAAGATGGATTTGATCAAGGGGAGTATTACAAATATTTGTACATGGATGACCTCATCCCAAATCGCTTACGTGCGGTTTCTCTTTGGGGAACAGGCACCTTGAACGGTTGCCGCCCATGCGCACACGTCCTTGACGTCCTTTTCCCATGTATAAATACATCCATAATGATCAATGAGAAGCTTGCTGGTTCATTTGCCATTTATTGTGTTCCAGTTCCAGACCTGGCATGACAGGTTACCATTAGAAGCTTGCTGGTTCATTTGCCATTTATTGTGTTCCAGTTCCAGGCCTGGCATGACAGGTTACCGTTGGGCGCGTGCGAAGTAGCCATTGGCCAGAGGCAGTTGGACCACCGGCCCTGGTGGTGGAACCGCCAGGCCAGGGGGCGTCAGCTCGGGCAGCAAGGCTAGCCATAACGGCCATATTTGTTGCCCCTCTACAAATCCATGGGTGGCCAGTTGAGAGGGGTTGGTTAGCACCATTGGGACTTAGTGTCCATGCTTGGAGAGTGCCAGAGAGCCCTATAACCCACTTGTGGCGAATGACCGTGGCCAGGGCACGGCCAGGTGGTGCTCCTGTGCGCGGCGGTGGAGGCGAGCAATCGCAACTGAGGAAGAGAAGAAAACACGAATGGAGGAAGAAGAAGAAAAATAGAAACGAACCAGTATGTTATGTAATGAGCAACAGTGGTGGGTAATTTTCAACAACTTCAAACCTGAGTTAGAGCACCCCCAGGAGTTCAACCAAAATGGTGAATCTGCTCCCCCCCCCTAGATCCACTGTTCGTTTTGGTGTGGATCTAGAACGTTTGGGGAAAAAAATTAGAGTGAAGTTGTTTTTGGTGAATCTAGAATAGAACTCTACCAAACAAGTCCTTAGAAGTCGCTACATAAATTCTATAATAATATAATATAATATGAAGAACCAACACGGGGAGCAGCTCATATGTAAACACATCTCCATAGTACTGCCATATATACTCTCTCTCCGTCCTGAAACAAGTGTCGCTAGGGATGCTGATCAAACTTTTAACTTCGTTCCGCATACCCTCTATGAGCAAGCAAACGTAATTTTCAAGCTACAAGCTGCTAATGTGTCGTACAGATCTGTGTAAATGCCAGGCAAATGAAACTTCTACACTGGGCTTACGATAAATATAGATCAAGCAAATACCACATTCAGCACAGCGTGCTGGTTCTTATTGGGTATCCTCCTCTACGTCTGGGACAGCAGGATCTTATGGAAATGCTTCATGGGCAAAAGTAATTCTAAGTACTAGTTCTTCGTGAATGTATTCATCATATCATTAGAAATCGGAAGCAGTATAATGAGGCATATCGTACTGTAAGGTGCCAAGCTTCTCAGCACGAAAACCAAAGCATAGAACTTACATGGACTCACCATCTCGCATCCGACAAAACCATTTGCCTGAGCATGTGAAGCTGAAGCATCAATGACAATTTCTAAGTTCCCTATAAAAGATAACACATTATTCGCCCACTCTTTTAAAATACCAAGCGAAAACCATTGTCAGTGAAGATACTTCAGTAATAACCTCCATGTGATAGCAGTATTCCAACTCCAGGTTTTATAACCCCTGGCAGGCTATCTATATACATGTCATATGGTTTCACAGACCTAGCTCTAAGCAATTCCTGCCTGATCTGATCAGCATCAACAAAAACACATGTTCATCAACCGTCACTGCAGATAGGACCAGTAAGACATCGCTTGCACTCGGATAGGGTATACTATAACTTAGGGTTTTTTTTATGTCTAACAAAGCCAAGCTACCAATGTCTTTGCGCTTTGCAAAGGACCTGTCGCTGTTGGTATTGTTTACAAGGGGCAGAAAGGCCACATGGTCAATCACCAAGCCAACCACATGAACCTGGGTATGGATGTGGAAACAAAGATTTTGGTGCAAATGAGTCCATAGGATTGGAGCAGAAACATTGATTCTGGGCAGCTGCAGATGGCAGAGACTGAGATGGTTCAGATGATGGGTGGTCAAGCAGCTCTTCTTCAGCCAGTGTATCTTGTTCCATGGGTGCACTTTCAGGACCTTTTGGCACACAAAGATTTTTGTCATCGGGAAAGATGATAAGTTTCCTCCTGGGAATTTCTAGCTCTTTTACTATCTCATGCTTCCTGCAAAGATTCAACAAAATTTAGAAACTCGTGCATAGTAGATAGTTGACGAAGGTGATCGAATTAACATACATGCAGTATATCAGAATCCTATCACGAAGAATGCCATCCCATGCCCTTTGAAAAATGTAACCATTTGGACCTTCCTTTGCTTCAAAAGGGATATCACTGGAAAAACAAGGACAAACAAGGAGAGTAGTACAGGTTTCATCAATAGGTATTAACAAAGGGACAAGGAGGAGGATTACAGAGGCCTCATAAATTCTCCAGTATAAAGGAAAACCTGGGTAAACATTTCCGGTGATATGTAATTGGGCAGAGTCTGCATACTGCAAATTGCATATTCTTATCATCCCTCTTCTCTGCTCCATGACAGACACTACATTTATGGACATGACAGAGGAACTTCAGTCCAGCAGCAACATACTGCTCAAAATGGCAGGCCCGGAGTTTGTCATCAGGGTACAGCATTTTGGAAACACAGTTAGGGTGGTAAAAATGCCCACAGGTATAGTCCTTACATTGGAATACCTGACAAGCAATGAATAATTAATTACATCTGTTCACATGAGAACATACATAAATCAAATTTCTGAAACATTTGGAGCATATGCCAATGGAAAATGGAATCATGAGATACTTGTGCATTTTTTTCTTTGTACAAGAATTGAGCTGTCCCTTTTTACACTGTTTCAGTTATACCTTATGTTGTTTCTTCATTTAAAAAAAATATATATGAATTCAAAAGCCAATGTAACATAATCAAACATACAAGTTATACCTACCTCAGCTCCCGATGACAAGTCTGAAGACCCCAATAATCCACAGGAAGAACATTGATGTTTCTTATACTTGCAGTTCTTGCATATGAAGTCTTTCTTATCAATTATCATCTGAGTTATAAAATAGAAAACATGAGGCAATTGCAAGCATGAATTTAAAGAGTCAACAACTCAATTAAGAGATACCTTTGCTTCTTCACTATTAATCTCAAGGGATGGGCACTTTGAACCCTCACCATGTTCTTCAGTTAGGTGGAAAGATCTCAGACACCCACCATCACAACTGAAATAAAACCAATGAAAAAAAAAGATAAGCATGGACGTAGGCTTCAAGTTAGAACCTTGCTGCAGAAATATTGCTACTTATATTATAGTACAAGAGGAAAACAAGTACAATATTAAAAATTTGATTGAAGGGAGTACTTTTATAAGTAGACAAGACATTCTGAGTCCAAGAAACCATGGCTTCACAAACAATTGTATGCATTAACTGTGGTTCACTCCAAAATGGGGATTTTATAAATTATTAATTATGTCTATCCATAACCACTGGACGCAAAATAGGACAGCAGGGGGAAAGGCATTCTCAGGTGCCAGTGTTTGAACTCAGCTTTAATACAGATACAAGATATGGGTTTTTCTTGGAAATAACTATTCAGTGGTTATATAAAGAAGAGGAAGCCAAGTCACTGAAACCTAATTATCGGTACACCTACCAAGTTACATAGCCACCATCGTCACAAATCGCACAGACATCATCACCCTGCACAAAAAGCATATTAATCTTAATGTTGTGAAATTGGAAGAACTACACCAGCAAAAATGGACAGTAAAAATGGATATCATCAGTTCATCATGATGCACAAATAGTTCGTTTTAGAGAATCAGTCCAGAATGCCGTTTGACAGAGCTCTGCCTGGGAGCTTTGTCAAACAGGCCCCGGGAATGCGCACCAAACAAACATCATGGTGATAGAAGCAGCGGGCCAAAGAGGAATTTTCGCTTAAAAGTGGTGCTACCTGCAGGTTTGGAACATAAAACCTTGTGCATAATGCAATCAACTCCAAACTCCAAAGGTATTTTAAAAATATCATTCAAATGTTTTTTATCATGGGATAGTAAAAAGTGAATATTTCCTTATAAAAAAGAAGCATTCGCAGCCAGTAAATTCAGGTGTTTAGTATTTGCGATTACTTTAGACATGGCAGTCTACAAACTATGTACTAATTAGTAACTATTCTGGACACATTCAAGTCAACTTGGAACAAGATGATAACATCATTGCATACATGGAGGTAGGGACAATAAACCACATAACTAACCAGCCCCCAGTAAACACAATAACCAAACATGTGAGAACATTAGCCTAGCTTTTTTCTGGACTTGGATCTTTGGAAGGATTTGTAGCATCTTCCCAAATATTTAACAAACAGTAACGTAACATGAAGCCACAACAGGTACTCCCAGCCCAGAATCTGAACTGTTGCAGAAGAACAACAGCCACGCTTGATATTTACCATAGCATAGGTATACACTATTTTTCGTTCCTAATCCAGTACCAATCATAAAAACTCCATCTTTCTGTTTTAAATGTTATTTCTAAACCACAAGAGAGGCATGTTCAGTGCGCAACATGCTCGCGCAGAAATCTGCAAGTATGCAGTCCAAGAGACATGATGAATTTAGGGAAAACTCAGTTTCCTATATTGATTAGCTGCATTTTGCTCATACCCAGATGAACAAGCAAAACTACCTAATCAATACAGTGCCACGTTTCAGTGCACTAAACTAAAGCGAACTGGAATCTTTTGCTGCTACATAAGCAAAATTTCGAATTAATACATAGAACAAACAAAAATAGCAGGTTTATGAGCTCATTTTACATCATCAGGTTGTGCCTTGCGCCTCTTCTTGCTCTTCCGCTTCACGTCACGTGCACTTCTCGGTGTCAGAAATTCACTGACTGAACTCTCTACTTGATTCATGGCTGACACAGTCCAACAATCAGGCAGGCAAGCTTGCTGCCGGGAGCTCCTTTCCACAGCAAGAGCTACTGATGGACCAATCAAAACCCCAATATGTTGTCCTCTGCCGTCGAAGTACCCTGATCAACGACAATAAATTTCTGTTAACTGAATAAAAATGAAGAATCAACAGAACCAACCGTAGCTCGCTGCACTGCATTACGTTGCTGAGGGCAATCATCTACAGTTAATTCTAGTTTCTCATCCGCGTCAGCTTAGCTACGGTCGATTGATGGCCGCATCTTGCACCCGCTGAAGGCGACAGCCCTAATCGAAAACCCCAACCGTGACGAAGAACTCCGTACCTAATCGAAAACCCCAACCATGACGAAGAATTCCGGCACTAACTGATGGGGAGAAAGGAAGAATTGGACTCGGTCGCTCGCAGCCAAGACCCGGCCGAGCAGGTTAGGGGTCCTCACCAGAGGGAAGGAATCAGCATCGCGGAAGCATCTCCATTTCGGGCCGGTGCAAACGACGGCTAGAGAGAAGAGATTCGTCTATCCGCGCCGGCGGAGGGTGGGCGCTGGTTTCAGAAACGCCGCTTGTTCTGTGTGACTGTACAGCTGTCCTGGACCTTGACGAGGCCCAGTCTGGTGTTTGGGGTACGGAGATTCGGTAACTTTGCCGTGACTGCCGCCAAATCCAGCCGGACAAGGCAGATCCAACTGTTATTCTAGGGCCTGCTTGGTTTGTGGTTAAACCTTTTTTTCTTTTTGACCGCCGCCAAGAGCACGGGCATGTAACGTAAAACTCGTATTGGACAATTATACTAACCACACACACACACACACTCGAGTATAGATGAGACTGCCGAGATTTCTTAGAACACGTCTACCGAGCACACACGCGCACACACTACTCACTCACACACACACCGCTCGGCTCCCTATGGGGAAAGTCCCCGGTTCGATCCTTATTAGGAATCGAACGCGGGCGGATGCGCTCTACGACGGGAGACACCACTACTACGCTACGTGTATATCCGCTTGTGTCTAAACTTTACCATGCTAAAGATTTAGCAAGTAAAAATTGGACAAATTTTTTATCATAAATTTTGTAAGCAAAATATGAGAGGTTCGCAAATTGGTAGCAAATCAAATGACAACCATATTTTTTTCAATACATCTCTATCTGTACCTTTATTTATCTCTCTTCTTATTTTCTATGCAACATATTTTTTTACTCCTTAATTCTCGCACCCCGACCTATAAGATCATCTATTTTTAGATTAAAATATGTGTTTCTTTATTTGGTTCCCTAATTTAATGAAAATAACATATTAATTAATATTGAACGTGACAAAGAACCCATTAATTAGAAGTGTAATGTTTTCTTGAATGTACCATCAATTTTTTTTAGATAATAGCCAAGCAGTAGAGGGCGCTAGATAGGAGGCCACCTGTCAATACAAGCATTTGACGAAGGCAAGGCCTATTTTGTAGGGACGAAAACCGTCAGGAAAATCTTTTAAACACTTTTGATTTCATATTATTACCAAGAAACAGAAACAGAAATGGAGACTTTGGTCAAGAAAATGGAAATGGTTACGTCGGATAATCGGGAACAGAATAGTGTGGTCGGTAATGATCGGGAATCAATAACCATGACTAATGACTTCTTGTTTTAGGTGGCAACAAATAAAGCATGAGGTACGATGAACTTATCGTTAATGCATATTTCTTGAGAAAATTCGACTAGGGATTTTTTTTAAAAAAATCGTTATTTACTTTGGACATCAAAGTTTAAAAAAAAAGAACATGGAAAGGAAGAGAAATGCTAACAAGCTGCGCTTAACGAGTAAACATGAGCGAGCGATCTCCCAGGAAGAACAGTAGCAGCACACAACAGCTAGCAGCCTACAGTGTGCTGCAACTGATGGGCAGGTTGGCAGCCTGTCTCAGTATCGTATATTTATTATTTACTGCTAAAGAGTTTCGGACATGGATGATTATGTGTCTATATAGAAAATTTACGATCGTTTACGGTTTAGCAATGAACAAATCAATGGACTGGCTCAGTATATTTATTATAATAAAAAAGAATTCGGACATGGATGGATTACGTGCTAATAAGCTAGAAACCCCGGTTATTAATTCTGGTACTGAAACGCGTCCAAGCTATTCATTTACATGCAATTTGCAAAAGGACCTATTACTGAGAGGGAGTATATTAGTAAATGAGAGTGAGTTAAGCTGCCAGACGGTCAGTCACCAAGCCAACCACAAGTGCCTGGATGTGGATGCATAAACAAGGACGCTGGTGCAAATGAGTCGATGGGACTAGAACAGGAGCACTGATTCCGATCACTTGCATCTGGCGGAGGAGATTCAGATGGAGGAGACTGAGATGGTTCAGGCTCCAGCGGCTCTTCTTCCTCGGGTATATCATCTTCATTGAGTGTACCAACGATCATTTTTGGTACACGGATTTTTTTGACATCAGAAAAGATGATGTGATCCCACTTGGGAGTTTTCAACTTTTTTATGATGGGATGCTTCCTGCAAAAGATTTCAACAGAAGACGATAAATCTGGAGTGGTAACTGGAGTCAACAGCCAATCAAGAACAAGATGAGTGAGTTAACACACATGCAGTAGATCAAAATTCGATCACGATGAATGACTTGTCCATCTGGTCCCTCAAACGTATCCCACGCCCTTTGCATATAGCCATTGAGACCTTCCTTTGCGTTCAAAGGGGATGTTACAACAACAACAAAAAGCCTTTAAATCCCAAATAAGTTAGAGTAGGCTAGAATTAAAACCCAGCAGAAGCAATCAAGGTTCAGGCACGTGAATAACTGTCTTCCAAGCATTCCTATCTAAGGCTAAGTCTTTGGGTATATTTCATTATTTCAAGTATTCTTTTATTGCCTCTATCCAAATCAACTTCGGTCTTCCTCTAACTCTCTTTACGTTACTATCCTGGCTTAGGATTCCACTACGCACCGGTGTCTCTGGAGGTCTCCGTTGGACATGTCCAAACCATCTCAACCGGTGTTGAACAAGCTTTTCTTCAATTGGTGCTACCCCTAATCTATCACGTATATCATCGTTTCGAACTCGATCCCTTCTTGTATGACCGTAAATCCAACGCAACATACGCATTTCCGCGACACTTATCTGTTGAACATGTCGTCTTTTCATAGACCAACATTCTGCACCATACAACATAGCAGGTCTAATCGCCGTCCTATAAAACTTGCTTTTTAGCTTCTGTGGTACCCTTTTGTCACATAGGACACCAAATGTTTGCCGCCATTTCATCCACCCTACTTTGATTCTATGACTAACATCTTCATCAATATCCCCGTCTCTCTGTAGCATTGATCCTAAATATCGAAAGGTATCATTCCTAGACACTACTTGACCTTCTAAACTAATATCTTCCTCCTCCCGAGTAGTAGTGCCGAAGTCACATCTCATATACTCAGTTTTAGTTCTCTTGAGTCTAAAACCTTGGACTCCAAAGTCTTCTCCATAACTCCGGTTTACGATTCACTCCTAATCAACTAGCACTACATCGTCCATGAAAAAGCATACACCACTGTCCCTTGTATGTCCCTCCTCATCCTGCCATATATATGATGTACGTGTGTGTGTATATGCTTCACGCGATTCACTCCTAGGATCGGTAGCATCCCGAGATTTCATAGCAATTCTAGGCTTCCATAGTTAGCCGTGGAGGCGCCTATATGTACTTGCCCTCTGGGCCTTTCCTATTCATTCAAGTATTCCACACAATCTAATCTACTTTCATGGTATCAAGAGTCCGGGTACATCCCGATTTCTTCGCTTGTATGTCCCTCTGGGCCTTTCCTATTCATTCAAGTATTCCACACAATCTAATCTACTTTCATGCACTAAGGCAAACAAATAAGGGCTCAAAGCTAACCCTTGATGTAGTCCTATCCTAATTGGGAAGTCATCTGTGTCTCCATCACTTGTTCGAACTCTAGTCACAACATTGTTGTACATGTCCTTAATGAGCCCGACGTACTTCGTTGGAACTTTATGTTTGTCCAAGGCCCACCACATAACATTCCTTGATATTTTATCATAAGCCTTCTCCAAGTCAATAAAAACCATGTGTAAGTCCTTCTTCTCCCTATACCGCTCCATAACTTGTCTTATTAAGAAAATGGCTTCCATGGTTGACCTTCCGGGCATGAAACCAAATTGGTTCAGAGACCCACGTTATTGCTCTTAAGCGATGCTCGATAACTCTCTCCCATAGCTTCATAGCATGGCTCATCAACTTAATTCTCCGGTAATTAGTACAACTTTGAATATCCCCTTTATTCTCGTAGATCGGTATCAATATACTTCTCTTCCACTCATCAGGCATCTTGTTCGATCGAAAAATATGGTTGAACAGCTTGGTTAGCCATACTATAGCTATGTCCCCGAGGCATCTCCACACCTCGATTGAGATACCATCTGGTCCCATCGTCTTACCTCCTTTTATCCTTTTCAACGCCTCTCTGACCTCAGATTCTTGGATTCTACGCACAAAGCGCCTATTGGTATCATCAAAAGAGTCATCCAACTGAAAGATTGTGTCTGTATTCTCACCATTGAACAATTTGTCAAAATACTCTTGCCATGAATGTCGAATCTCATCCTCCTTCACCAAGAGATGCTCCCTTTCATCCTTAATGCACTTAACTTGGTTGAAGTCCCTTGTCTTTCTCTCACGAACCCTAGCCATCCTATAAATGTCTTTCTCTCCTTCCTTCGTACTCAAACGTTGGTAAAGATCTTCGTACGCTCTACCCTTTGCCACACTTACAACTCGCTTTGCAGTCTTCTTTGCCACCTTGTAATTCTTTATGTTGTCCACACTCCTGTCATGGTACAAGCGTCTATAGCATTCTTTCTTCTCCTTAATAGCCCTTTGGACTTTCTCGTTCCACCACCAAGTATCTTTAGCCTCGCCTCCCCTCTGGACTTCAAAGGGGATGTTGCTTGGAAAAAAAATTACAAACTGTCAAGAAAAGAAAATCCTGGTTTATTTTTTTTCTCGAACCACGCAGGAGAGCTGCGCGTCATTTCATTAAGATAGAAAAAAAGTACACGAGTCCAGAAGGACCCAAACCCGAGTCCAAAAACACCACTCAAACAAAAACTGCAGACTCGCCACAGACTACTATAAACAAACGACCAGCGACCACAGGCCTAAAAACCAATGGCCAGCAACCTGGGCATGAGCTCCTGGAGCTTTGAAGCCCCAGCAGAACACCAGAGCCCACCTTCTATGCTTACAGCCCTAAGCACAGTCTGAATGCACGGCCTTGAATTCTCGAACACACAGTCATTTCGGTGTTTCCAAACCTCCCATGCTACCAAGATTATCAAGGAGTTGAGGCCCCTACGCACTTCTTTTGGTACTGCTTTGATTACTTTCCTCCACCATCCAGAGAAACGACTCACTGAAGGGTCAGGTACTAACTGCATTAAGCCCAAGAGCTGAAAAATCGATGCCAAGACATGGCGAGAGAAGACACAGCCAACCAGCAAGTGATTGATTGTTTCCTCGGCCTGGTCACAAAATGGGCAAACCTCCGGGTGGGGCAGACCCCGTTTAGCTAGGCGATCAGCTGTCCAGCACCGATTATGTAGCACCAGCCAAATGAAAAATTTGCAACACAGGGGGGCCCAACTTTTCCAAATTCTTCTCCATGGGCTGAACTTGCTGGTTCCTACAATGAAGGCTAAATAAGCGGACTTGCTGCTGCAGGATCCCGATGGAGTCAACTTCCACTTATATTGGTCCTCTACATCCTGTTGCAAAACTGTGCCATCCACTAAATCCCAAACATGAAGATATTCAACCAAAACCTGCACAGTACGAGCCCCTTTAATGTCACCAACCCATCTTCTATTTTGTAGTGCTTGGGCAACGATCCGCCTCTTGGCTGTACGTTTCGACACTGTTCTGAACAAGTTGGGTGCCACCTCTGCAATGGTACAGCCATCCAACCAACGATCAATCCAAAACAGAATTTTCATCCCATTGCCTACTATGGCATCCACAGCAACATTAAAAAGAGCCTGGGCATTTCGTGGGGCTTGGATTGGGAGGCCAGCCCATGGCCTTGAAGGATCGTCTTTTGTGCCCACAACCAACGGATTCTCAGTGCCCAGCCAAGATATTCGAGATTATGAATTCCAAGTCCTCCATATTCAAGAGGACGTTGTACCCTTTCCCAAGCAACCAAGCAATTGCCGCCGTTCGCCTGTGCTTGCCCCTTCCAGAGGACCAAGAAACCGCCGTTTGTCAATTGCCTTAAGACACCATTTCGGAAGGTCCATGGTTATCAACAGGTAAATGGGAGCAACTGTTAAGACCGCTCTAACCATTACCAGCCTGCCAGCCCTGTTCATGAGGCCTTCCAACCTGGAAGGTAATCAGCTATCTTATCAATTAAAGGCAGCAGCATTTCCTTGGTTGGTTTGACAACTGAGAGCGGGAGTCCGAGGTAAGTACAAGGGAACTCCTTGATGGAGGAGGAGAGGACAGCAGCCGTCAGTGCCAATTCTTCATCAGAACAATGAATAGGAGAGACCTAGCTCTTGGACAGATTTGTTCTAAGACCGGAGGCATGTCCGAACAGGTCAAGAATATGTCTGATAACATTCAGCTCAGACCTGTGAGGCCTAAAAAAAACAACTGCATCATCCGCATAAAAGGATACTCGATGACGGGTTTGTTGAATGGCTAGTGGCTGCAGCATCTCCTTCATGGTGGCATACTTGATCGATGAGTTAAGAACATCCATGACCAGAATGAACAACATAGGGGAGAGGGGATCCCCTTGTCTTAAGCCCCGACGACGGATAATGTTCTCACCCGGTTCCCCATTCACTAACACTTGGGTGGAGGAAGTAGACAGAATCAGGCAAATGAGATCACGCCATCGCTGCCCAAACCCCACACGATGCAGCACTTCCAACAGAAAGGACCAAGAAACCGAGTCAAAGGCTTTAGAAATATCCAACTTAAGGAGAATATGAGCCTCTTTTTTCTTATGTAACGACCTCACCATCTGCTGGACCAGGATAAAATTGTCATGGATATTTCTCCCTCTCATGAAAGCAGTTTGACTAGCTGAGACGAGTGGGCAACAAAGGAGCCAAACGGTTAGCCATGACCTTAGTCACCAGCTTAGCAAAACTGTGTATTAAGCTTATCGGCCGAAAATCCTTTACCTCCACCGCCTCTATCTTCTTAGGCAGCAAGGTAATAAAGGCTGTGTTCAGAAGTCGGAAATTGAAAACATGGCCCCTATAAATGGCATCCAGGGCCATTAGCAAGTCACCTTTGATAATGCTCCAGCAGGTTTTATAGAAGCGGCCCGTAAACCCATCCGGACCCGGGGCCTTATCCAAAGGCAAGTCTTTAATAGTAGTAGCCCAGACCTCTTCCTCGGAGAATGGATCATCCAGCAAGGAAAGTTCGTGTTGCTGAACGCCCAATTCCTCAAGATCAATAGAAAAATCCCTCTCTTCTGCCTTCCCAAGAACATTCTCATACAAGTCAAGCACAGCCGCCTGTTTCTCTTCTTGAGAGACAACCAACCGATTCCCAACCTGCAGCTTAGGGATGAAATTTTTCTTTTTTCTGAACCGAGTTTGCTGGTGGAAAAAGGCGGTATTAGCATCACCCTCCTGGAGATACAAAATTCTAGAGCGCAGTCTAGCGACAGTTCTTTCCAAAGAGGCCAACCCGAGGCAGTGGAGCTTGAGCTTTCTGCGCAGCCACTCCTCACTGTCAGAGAGCTCCCTGGAATCTCTCTCGGTTTCCAACCGATGGAGAACCTCCTTGGCCATTCCAAGCTGGACTTTGATGTTCCCCACCTTACGCTGACCCCACTTTTGAAGAGCCTTGCTAAGCCGCTGCAACTTTAGAAATAGGCGCTCAACGGCACAATTAGCTTGTACCGGAGCCTCCCAATTCTGCTTGACCGCATCCAAGAATCCCGGGACCTTGGTCCAGAAACTTTCAAAATGAAACCGTCGTTTGCCATTGGTGCTTACTTTCAGGCCTAGGATAAGCGGGCAGTGATCAGAGACCCCAGCAGCTGAGCTCTGCAGAACTGAATCAGGGAAGATGCCTTCCCAATCCATACAACAGAAGGCACGATCTAATCTCACAAGAGTCGGAGACTGCCTCTCATTAGACCATGTATATTTGCGACCCAACAGAGGAATCTCCTTGACCTCGACATCATCCAGAAATCTCCTGAATCTTCCCATCATTGCTCTGTCTAAGTTTGTGTTATTCTTGTCCGCAGCTTGATAAATTAAATTAAAATCTCCTGCAACAAGCCAGGGCCCATTGCACAGAGCACGGATGTTCCTGAGTTCTTGCAAGAACAACACTTTCTCATCATCTGCTTGTGGCCCATAAACACCGGTGAACCACCAGTTGCGACCCTCTTGTTCAGAGAACAGGACAGAGACTGAATATGTATCTACCCTGGTTGCAAGTGCCTGACATGAACTGCTCTTCCAAGCTATCAAAACCCCTCCACGTGTACCATTGGCTGGGAGTGCAAGGAACTTGTCAAAAGCTGAGCCAAAAACTGATAAGAATAAACGTTGATTCATGTTTGCGACCTTAGTTTCTTGAAGACAGACAATGTCCGCATTACTATAAAGAATGACTTCTCTGACAGAATTTCTGCGATCCTTCTTGTTGAGGCCTCGCGCATTCCATATCAAAATAGCAGCTGGATTCATTGTTACACGAATAGAAGAACCGACCTAGCAGGCAGACAAGGCCTCACAAAACTGCAATTACATCTGCAGACCGTGCTTGCTCCCCTTCCCCAACTGACCAGCCAAAGATGGCAGCAATAGCAGAGACGTGGGATTCAAAAAGCAGCGGACCAAAAAGCTTACTGTAACTGTCTTGAGCCTTTGGGTCGAGCACCTCTTTCTACTCGAAGCCGAGATGTCTCATCACCCGCTTCTGCGCCTCCGAGAGCACCGGGCCTGGAGAACACGGCCTGGCCCTGTCGACCCTCCGGCTGCGGCGCGGCAGGGACCCCGGAGGGGCGGCCTTCCTTCTCCTCTTCTGGACCACGGGCAGTGGGAGAATCCTATCCACCGGCTTGCACACCTTGGCGAGCTTCTGGCCAGGAGAGGCCCTCTGAGGAGAGCCATCGTCGGGAGGAGGAGCAGAGGGTCTGGTCCGGCGCCGCTGCCGGGAGTACACGCGGAGTGGGGCCGAGGCAGTACCAGCCTCGAGCCGCGACGGAGCAGGGCCTCCCTCTGCCGCCGGGACAGGGGCAACTGACCCCGGAGTCGATGGAGCCTCGGTCAGCAGGCAGCAGCCCGTCGTCGCCGTCGTCGCAAGACCGAACCGCCAGCTCAAGGAAGGAGATGGAGCTATCCCGGAAGCACTCCATAATTGGGTCAATATTGCCAGGCGCTAGGTTGTGGTTGCTGGTGTGGATCAGGCCCAAACGGATACGAAGAAGACACCAGCCCACCCGAAGGAGCGGAACTGTTAAGGTTTTGAGCCGACCCCATAGTGGGCCCCAAACCAGCCAGAGGCCCACGCGGGGAAGAAACCAGAGTGGCCCCAGACATCGCCTGTGGCCCAGACGGAGAGGGGCTGGCCACCATCGTAGAGACGTCGGCGCTTGTAATGGCCACCTCGGGCACTCGGCCGGCGGCATCCTGGGATAGCGAGGAGACAGCCCCCTCGGGCGCACAGCCATCTGCCGGCTGAGGGAGAATGTGAAATAAGGTAGCCAGTAAACTTTAGTAGCTACTAAATGGTTTAGTTATTTTTAGTAATTTTAGAGTTACTAGAGAGGACTAAAGTCCTTTTAGTAGCTTTTAGTCATAACGTTTAATAAAAAAATTACTAAAATAACTAAAAGCTACTAAATTTAGTAGCTACTAGACGAACCAAACGGACCCTAACTTCAGCCACGGAGCCGTTGGCAAGCAGGAGCGCCTCAGGCACCCCCACAGATGCTTGGGATACCCGCGCGCCAGCCAGGGGGATGGTCCCTTCGGGCGACTCAGCCAGGCCCTCACGATCGATGTGGGAGGCAGATGGCGAGGCGTCACGCAACACGTGGAAGCCTTCAGAATTCTATGGACCCAGACTTGCATGGATCGAAGCCTGGGGCGCAGTCGACGTCGAGACTGTACCGCCCACCGCCCCCAGGGCCGCCGCCATAGCCGGGGAAGATCGTCTGCGTCGTCATCGTCGTCTACGGCGGCTCCGTCCCTCATCGGCCGGAGGCGGGGAAGGAGGGTCCCCCGCCATCAACAGCTGGTTGAAGGGGGCCACCGCAATGGAGATGGGATACCGCAGCACACGCTTCGCCGGGCCGGAGATGTCATCAGCCAGTGGAGGTTCAATGATGTCAAGATCCATCTCGGAGGGGATCCGCGAGGGCTCCGAACACAAAGCAGCCACCTTGACCACGTCACGCCTGTCCGCATTGGCCGGATGAACGCCGCCGACCCAGCAGAACTCATTTAGCAATTGCTTCGTCGTGGCCAGCTCCAAAGCATGGGCCGGGATCCCTCGCAGCTCAATGTCGACAGCCGAAGGCAACGTAGATGCCGAAGAATGCATGAAACGCGACCAGCGCATGGTATGAAGACGGAAGCTTTGGCCGATGATTGGCCGCCCGCCATTGTACTCTTGTTGCCGTGTCCTCATCCGCCAGAACCAAAATGAAACTAGCTGGCCCAGAACGAAGCAGAGAGAGTACTCCACCGCGAGCTTGAACTGGCTGGCAATCAGCTCCCTAATGGGGGTTTCCAAACCATCACGGCAGTCGCCGATCACGGTAACAACCAGCGCTCGCCCAAGAGCCACCTCCCTATGGGCAATGGAAGCAGACCTGTCGATCACTCGTCTAGGCTTCACGACCTGGGCCTCTAGAGATTCATCATCACCACTCGAAGGCAAAGGAAGAGGGTCCCCGGGTTCTCCATCAGAATCCTGACCCGGCAGGGAAGAAGCCAAGGCACAATCACCACCGGCCGAGTGCTGTGCGCGAGTCCTGCGCCGCCTACAACGCCCCTGGGTTGCCGCCTCGACACTGGGCTGCCCAGAACAGGTCTGGGCAGGCAACAACGGTGGAGGGCCAGAACCCAGTGGCGGAGGGGCAGGCCCCATCCGCGGCATCTCGGAGACTCGTCGCCAGACCATCAAGCAATGGGGAGGGATCGACGAGCGCACGGGCGCACCCCAGCGAGCAGGACGGGCATAGAGACGATGCCCCAGAGACCGGCAGTGGAAGCAGCGGGGTGCAGACCGACAGCTCGCCACGCGATGATGTCGAGAAAAACAGTTGAAACACCTCTCTTGCAGGTCCGACGGAACCGGCCGCCACGACAGGCGCGCCTTCCGGCGCCGAGCACCTCTAGCGCGCCGGCCTTCCGCAGTCCACCAGCCGTCCGCGTCCGAGCGCTTGCCAGCACTCGCCACCGCCCGATCCTCAAGACGGAGGACGATCCGAGTCGGAGCCGCATCAGGAGCCACCGGCGGCGAGGACGACGAGGGTGACCGGCCCATGGGGCCATGTGAAGGCGTCGCAGACGCAGAGGAGCCACCCAACAGCGCCTCCTTGAAGGACAGCTAGGTACGGGAGTAAGAGCCGCCAGAAGAACTGGCCAAAGAAGGGGAGCCGTCGCTCCACCGCTGTGCCTTCGAGCGACCTGCCGTCGCGCAGGAAGGCCCCGGCGGGGAACACAACAAGGAGTTCGACACGGGGGAGGGGCAGCAGACCGGGCGGGCCGCCGCCGCGGTGGAGAGGGTGGCCGACGGGCCTGGACTCCTGGAGTAGGCACCGGCGTGAGAGAGGGTTTCTCCTGGTTTAACAAGAAAGGGGGTATAGACACCTCCAGAATGAAGGAATACCTTGGCAAGCACATCCAGTGGTATGTAGTTGGGCAGCGTCTGCATACTGCAAATTGCATATTCCTATCATTCTTATTCTCTCCTCCCTTGCACAGAATACATTCATGCATAGGACAAGTGGATTTTTCTCTGGCAACAGCAACTTGGACCTCAAAAAGTGTGGCCTTGTCTTCGCTATCTGGATAGAGCAGTTTAGCAACACACTTAGGGTGGTAAAAGTGCCCACAATCATCAACCTCACATTGGAACACCTGTCAACTCAGGCAGAAAGGCAAATAATTAAATCTATTCAAATGATAGCATGCAGATACTGAAAATTTTCAAACATTTTCAGCATATGTGCATTCTGGTGCATCCTGGGATAGTTTATGTATTCTTTTCCTATACAAAAAGGAAAGGTCCCTTCTTTTTTTTTTACCTAATCTCAAAGTAATATTATTTGTCATTTCACTTCAACACTTTCAAATAAATCAAGTTCAAAACTCTCATGAAACATGACATGCCTACCTCAGCTTCTGATGACAAGTCTGAAGACCCCAATTTTCCACAAGCAAAACACTGATGTTCCTGATACTTGCAGTTCTTGCATATAAAATCTTTATCAACAGCAAGGATCATCTGAGTTATGAATGGAAATACGAATAGCCATGTCAATTTTTTAGACATTTAGAAGCAAATGAAAGTCAGGAGATACCTTTGCCTGTTCAGCACTTAACCTAAGGATTTCTCTGCACCTCGATCTTTCACTGTTTCCATCAGTTAGGTGGAAGGACCTCTGACATACACCATCACAGCTAAAAAGTTCAAGGTAAGTAAACACTTGCATTAAGCTTGGAACAAGGAGTCACCCTTGTATTGCTGTGGAAACTTTGTAACTGATCTAATATTAGAAATTTTGGAACATTGGTGCATTTATTGTGCATTTTTAGGTGTACCAATGATTTAAGGGAAACCAGACAACTGGTGGAAATGTGCTGATGTGTCACGCTATTGGGTTTCATCTCTAGTCTCCACCAAACTTGCTTGGAAGTAAAAGGCTTGCAAGGAAAAATGGAAACTGACATACTGTTTTCGTTGTTTGAACATAGCAGTAATATACTCCGTCCATTCCAAATTATAAGTCATTTTGGCTTTTTCTAGATACATAGCAAAAAACAATATACCTAGAAAAGCCAGAACGACTTATAATTTGGAACGGAGGGAGTAGAACATAGTATATGGTTTGTTAAAAAAAACATCTTGTTTGATGCTCATCCTCTCTTTCTTTGTACAACACAAAAGGATATTACTTGTTTATTTGGTAAGTCGAAAACATACTCTTTTCTAAATTATACAATATTGCTAGAAGCATATGGGAAGAACGAAAATTTTGGTCTAGCATTTTCCCTACGGCTTCCAAGAACAAAAACAATTTCCATTAATCTGTAAATAATCGTCAACTAATACTAGGACAACCCACCCAGCCCTGCTTCTTTTACTATGGTGTCCATACATTTCAATCTTCAGACATCATGATTTAAGTATGTTTTTCATACAAAAAAAACAATACCATGAGGTTCATATTTCAAATTATTTTCCTACAGCCATGATTTCTTTTTGAGGGCACAGTCGTGATTTTTTTAACGATGTAACAACTAAAAGGGAAACTAATGGTAAAAATTTAGTTTGCAGAGAATGCATGGAGGCAAACCACGACTTTATCTTGAAACGGAGAGAGTATTCAATGAAAGAAAGTGGTTAACATAGTTGGTTAAATTTTCAAATGTGAACAATTCTTAGGGAAACAGTGACGATATGATTACATTAGTGAATCAATTATCATAACCGCACATATAAAGGAGACAAGCAATTAAAATTGATTTTAAATGAACCTACCATATTACATCACCACCATCGTCACATATTGCACAAAGATCATCGCCCTACACAAAGAGCAGATTTATCTTAATTTTGTGAAATTGAATCAACAACACCCATAGAAAATGAACATAAAAAATGTTATGTTAACCAATAAAGAAACTAATAGAGAACTAGTTTAAAAGGGCACACATATGGTGAGCTGTACATGTTTTACCATATGTAGTAACTAAATAAACTTACATTCAGTAATAAATTACAAATTTGAGTAAAATGCACTTTGCACCAGATGTTCGAAAATTTTGAAAAGAACACCAGTAGTAAAACTGCTCCTTGAGCTACCTTCTCTATTATGAATCCTTGCTTTGCATCAGGTTTACTGTCGTGTGCCTGCCGTTACAGCTTAGGTCCATCTGTGACAGCGCTGAGATGGTGAACTGTGTTCGCTAGGATGGACGTTACCTTTGGGAATGTACTTGCGAGCTATTGGAGTGGGAAATCATGCTAGCACTTTAACTCTACTCTAAACAAGAGGTGTTGTCCAAGCCAGTTTAAAGGGGTTGAGCTTGATCCCACTTCTTCTGTCTGATCAAGCAATCCCAGATACAGATTACACATTGGATACACCAGGCATCCTACCTGGACAATACTGTCCATCATCTTATTGGTGCTGGGCCAACTTCTCCTGAGTTACACTGGTTAGACTGTTTAAGTCCGAGGGTCGATGAAACCCCCGTCAGCAGTCCAAGTTTAAAGGCTGACACAAACTTCTTAAGAACAAAACCAGGGGCACGTCTCTCAAGTCTCATCCTGGTCGAGTTTTTTTCTTTATCTCAAAGTGTCAGGAAGGGCTTCCGACGCTAAACATGGACATGGACATGGTGGAAAGCAAGGCTGAGAAGAGGTGCTACACAGATCAGCTTTGTATTAAAGATGGTATTCTTTGCATGTTTGGCACAGAAAGTTGGTCAATTTGTAATTTACTAGAAAGAACTTCCTATGACATGTCACTGAAAAGGTTTAAACCATGACGGAGTAGTTTAGATGGAAAAAAATGAATATATTATCTTGAATAACGAAGGATATTGTGATATACAACCAGCACGTAGACAAGCTGAATGCTAATTCTGAGCAAATAGTCTATGAGGCAACTCATAATGCCTTTTTTTATGGAGACATTCAGTCAACTAAAATTTGGTGAAAGTCATTGTGTCCTGGGCACTTAACCCTATAATTAGTCAACACCCGAAAACCTCAATGGCAGTACATGTACCAACATTAAGTTATATCTATTTTTTCTCTGGATTCAAATTTGTTTTAAGGATATGCAACTTCTTGAAACGAGTTTTTAAACAGTAAACTAAAGTGCAGTGCAAGATGTGCTTCATAATTTTTTTCCCCGTTAGGTAAAGCTAAAGCACTGCACAGACGAGGGTTGACACCCTTTTCCAGACCCCGCACAGAGCGGGAGCTCTCTGCACTGGATACGCCCTTTTTTAGGTAAAGCTAAAGCACATCAAGATCCAAATTCTAAACAATTCAAAACAGAAAACACTTCCAAGCACAGGCACAGGCACAGGCACAGCCACTGCCCATTGAGGCACTGATGTACTTGTATGTTTGACATAGCATAACATTCCTTTTGCTAAGCCAGTCAGTCTAATATGGCATTCAGGTCGAGTTAACTTACATCAGGTCGTCGCCTGGGCGTGGTGTTCTTTCGCTCGATGCCACCACCTCTCTGCAGCCTCCGGAGGTCGTTCTGCGGGCTCTCAACTGGCGTCATGATATCCCTCAAGAATCAGGCGGGGCAGACAACTGAGGGGCAGATGGTTTATCCTTGAAGGACCCCTGTCCAGAGACATCAAAGTTCAGCTGAGTATTGTAATGCATTACAATTGGGACCACAAGAATCAGCAGCTGGTTTATCCTTTAAGGACCCCTATCCAGAGACATCAAAGTTCAGCTAAGTATTATAATAATGCATTACAATTGGGATCACAAGAATCAACGGTGGCACACTGCATTATAGTAATATACATTGTAATTTAAGGACCACAAGAATCAACGGCAGCTCACTGCATTGTAATTAGACTTGCAAGCGGCGCCGGCCGTGCCAACAGCCCGCCGGACTAACCCGTCCGCAAGCCCGGTAAACGCCGCAATTGCAACCAAACAACCTAGACGGTTCTATGCGACTATGCGGGCCAGCCCACCCTAGCGCCGCATCATCAACCTGCAAAGGTGCCCGCATCACACCGCGTGGGTGAACTACTACGGAAGGGGAAGAATAGGTTATGATGAAGCGACGGAGGAAGACCCGCGGTGGTGAGCTTGTGTTACTATATTGCTATTGTTTTCTTATATATTATTATTATTAAAAATGAATATAGTGTTGCATAAATTTATCTTAGAACAAGTATATTTATTATTGTCTTGAGATCTTCTGAAAAAATTTGGTTAGTTCGGTTAGAACCGGAACCAAACCAAAATAACCGAGAACCGAAATACTCGGTTCCTAAAAATTTTAAAACCGATCGGCCCGTTTTCTAGGAACCGAATTTTATCAATAACCGAGGGAACCGAACCAAAAACCGAACGCCCACCCTCACTCATAAGTCACCCGTATCCGCAGAAGCCTTTTATTCTGCGAATACGGGTGGGCCGCCGCAAATCGTCTCGATTTGCATATGGAAAATGTCCTTTTTAGCCACTTTAATTTAACTTTCACGATAATACGATTTTCTCCCTTATCTATCTATGAAACCGGATTTCGAAACTCCTCAACTTTTAAAACCATCTCTACTTTACACCATGAGGCCCTGTTTGGCTGTTTGGCAATTTTTTACACATGTAAGTAGTATCCGCCTGTAAGTTACTGTACACAAGGAAACCAACGATTTCATTTACACCTGTAAAATGCTGTTTGGATGGCCGGAATTCTTCCGGTCCTAACGGCCGGACCAGAAGCCTCCGCCGAACGGAGCGCGCGCCAAAAAATTGTTACATGATTCCCGCGCTCCGCGCAGCCAATCCCACGCTCCGCCGAACGATTTCCCGAGCAGCGCGCCGATCAGAGCCCCGCACGTGCCAAGCGGTTAGCAGCGATGTGCCGTAGGAATAGGAACGTACGAACTGTTTCCTTTTTTTATTTTTTAATTCTGTTTTCTTTCTTCTCCTTTTCATTTTTCTTTTATTCTCTTTCGTTGCTTCTTTTTATTTTCACTTTTTCCTTTTCTTTTCTTTGTTCCGTTGTTTTCATTCTTATTTTCATTTTCTATTTATATATTTCTTTTATCATTATTTTTTTATGTAGTTTCTTATTCTTTTGTTAATTATTATTTATTTATTTTTCCTATTCTTTTATTTTTCTTTTGTTTTCTTTTTATTGTTTTATTTCCTTGCTTCTATTTATTCTTCCTTTTTGTCAATCAACATTTGAAGCAAAAAGAGTGACAATATTTGGAGGTATCACAAAGTGAAGACTATAATAACAAGGGAGTTGTTTGAAAGCACTTGGAAGAAATAATAGTGACCAAGTTGGATATTAGATGTTGATAAGCTCTATATATGTCACAAGAAAATATTCCTTCACTCTTTAGGGTCCAAGGTTTGGCTTATAATTTCTATGTAGCACGTCAATATATGTGAAAAAATGTTTAACTTATAACTTAACCTTTTTAGTTATATTTAGAGGTAGGACGGCTTAGGTGGCCTGCCTCTAGTACGGGCATGTTTGATATGACTTTTACTTTAGGTGCTTGTCGGTGTTTGATGACCAGCAACCCGTCATGGGGATACCCGGGACGGTGTTTGGAGGGCATTGACAAACTCAGAAACTCGACGGTGAATGCAAAGAGATGGCGATTTATACTAGTCCGGGCCCTCGTAATCGAGTAATAGCCTTTACGTCCAGTCGGCGTGAGCCTTTTGCGTTGGATTGATTGTATGATTGTTAGGGTACAAGGGGGTGCACCGTGCCTCTCTTTATATAGGGAGAGAGGGAAAATGTGCATTTCTAGTCCTAGCCGGTTACAACAGAAGAGTCTTAATTCTATTATAGAATCTTGCTTTCCTAGTAAGCCAACTAGGTCGGTCCTTGATGGCTTGAAGTCCATGCCTCCTTGCACCGTGTCCTTCAAACAGACCGTGGCCCAACCATAGGCCCAGCGTAGAAGTCGACCCGATAGGGAACCCCTGGGGTCCTGCATCAACAAGCCCCTGAGCGTTTCATGGTTGAACTTGGAAGCCTTCTTGTTCCTTTGGATCTTGCCGAGTAGAAATAAGTATTGTCCGAGTGCTTTCTATAGAGAAACCAGGGAGTGCTCTTGAGAACTCTGAGTGATGTGCGCTTTACTGAAAAGTGCACTCACTGAGTGTAGCCCCCGAGCCTCTTGCTGTTTGGAACAAAGAGTTGGAGGGTTTTTTTCTACAAATTCTTGAAACAGAATAAAAATCATCCTCTAAGGATATGTATCCAGCAGCCCCCGAGCCTATGTCCAAGTTAGTAGTTGACGCTAGGATCTGAAAAGAATATACTTAAGGATGCCGATGAAATTATTGCCTGACTACTTGACTTGTTAGAAAGTAGGTGAGGCAATGTTCAGTGCCCGTGAAGAGTAAATGCAAGCGGTCGTAAGAGTAGTATATGCCCCGAATATGCCACCCGAGTATACTGTAGCTTCACGCGCGCTGTCCTGATGCACTGTAAAGGTGTAGTGGGAGACCACTATACCCTTGTAGCGCAGTAAATAGACCCATACTAAGCAGCGGGAACTATCGGCTCTACTGTTCATGAACCCGGTCCATGAACACCATGTTTTGCCTATAAAAAACCCTCCTGACGAGCTCTTGCATAGCAGTTGAGTAATAGCAAAGTAACTCTGAGTCTGTAGCCAGTGAATATGGTGGTGTGTGAAGTAGAGCAGCCCCTGACATTGTTGGTAGGAGTAGTAGATCATATTGTAGTTAGAAGAAGTCTTGTGATAGAGACTAGAAGCAGGCTAGTCTCATAGTGGTGCAAAACAAAATGGTCCGGCAAGGCAAGTAGAAGAAGCCTTGTGATGAGAGACATGTTCCCTCATCCAGTAGTCCCATGTTAGTTCTTAGAGCGTGCCTGTCGACGTCTGTCCACTGGCGATTAGCTGCTGGTCCGAGTGGTGGTAGTGAAGTCGGCTTGGGTAGACAGATGTCAGAAGAAGTGATGTTGCTACACAAACCCGGTAGACCAGGAAGTTTTGTACCACTGACAACAGTCTTGGATGCACTGTGTTGTCACAATGAAAATTGTGGCAGCGAGTTGGATGTGTCCTGTCGAGTAGTAACTAGGAGCTTTGATTTGTGAAAATGGTCACTAAAGCCGAGTAGTCAGAAGCTTGTAAAGTGTCCAACCCTGTATCCGGAGAACTGTTGTTGAAAAAATTCTTCATCCGAGTATTGTGTCGCTTTAACTCATTTTATCGAGCAGTTATCCGAGTACTGCATGAACCATCCAAGTACGTCATGATGTGGCCATGTAGTCAATGGTCGTATCGTGGTAGGTACCTAGTAGGTGTAAACTCAAAGGATAAATCTTAGCACTTGATGCCTCTGAAATCATGAAAATGCGTGTAGCCATCGTTTCAAATTGCACAACCACATTAAAATGGAAGGGGAACCAAAATGCCACACCTATTGGCATGATTATCGGGCCACATCACGGTGTACATCCTGTATAAAAAGAGAACAATTCCTGAGCATTATCTCCCCCTGCTCCATTCGCTTTCAGCCTTAGCCCCGAGCGACTGTGAGCGCTTTTGCAATCTGGTTGCCACAAACTCTAGATCTGTAAAAAGCTCTGCTTGATGGGTAAGGGCAAGAATTTGAGTGCCACCGCCAATAAGACTGCCGAGAAGAGGGTGCTAGAAGTGCCTGAGATGGCCGCCCGCCCAGATCTGGCGGGCGCTAAGCACGAAGCCGAAGCACCTCTAGAAGCTCCACGACCAGGGCTACTTGCCAGACCAGAAGCTTGGTGAGTGGAAGGCGCCTGGAGAGCCGGGTGACATTGTTCTCTTTATTTCATTCATCCAGCACAGGCTAGGGTTGCTAGCTTGTCCATTTCTGCATGGGGTTTTGCACTACTATAGCATAACTCTAAACCATCTGAACCCAAATTTCATCTTGCATTTGTCGATCTTTGTCCATCTTTATGAAACTTTCCTTGGCATCCCCCCTCCATCACTCTGTTTCGCTATTTCTTTAAGCTGAAACCGCATCCAGACGTGGCAAATCCTAGTGTTTTGGGGGGCACTGGTATTCAATTCCGGTTGGGGAAGAAAAACGAATATCTCCACTACACCTTGGTCGATTCTGTGAAGAACTGGATGACCGAGTAGTTTTACACGGGGAATATGTGGCCACCGCTGGAGGTACACAGTAACACTACACCAGTGCCCAATGCCTGCTGGAACAAGCAAACTATGGATGCGACGAAGCTTGAAGGAATCCGTCCACTCCTTAAATAGCTCTAAGCTATGAAGGACCAAGGCCTAAATGGAGTTGGAGTAGTCGCCAGCTTTATTAGGCGCTGGGTGCAACCACTCTAGGAGAGGGTGCATTATGGCTTCGAGTACATTGGGCCAGAAGACCCTGCCCGAGTGACGACTGAAGAATTGTCAGAGGATGAAGTCCTGGCGAGAGTTCAGGACATACTCCAGGGGGTATCAGTAATGTCATACCAGTACCAAGAGTGAGACCACGAGCATCCACCAGCTATTGTAAGTAGGCTGACACATGCGATTCTTAAGT